ACTCGTTCACTGGAATTTAACTACCTTGTCAATGGGACTCCAATTTACGCTCTCCGTCCTTTGGTTCCAGGGAGTTGGCCACTTAAAAAGTTGATTTTTTTTTAAATGGCGTTTTAATTAACCTAGATGAAATTAGGAATCCCTTTTATTTTTTGATCTAATAATTTTTCTGGTAGTTTGTCAGGAGAGTTATGTGTGTGCATGTTAGTTACAAGTCAAATTATGTACTGGCATCAATTGAACAACACTGGAAGGTAAAAAGCTTTTGACAATATTAAGAATATCAAAAAGGCAATATCAGAGTAAACTTCACAGTATGCTGTACCAGAACTGTATCTTAATTGGAAGGAGAAGTAGTAATGCTGTATGACAAGGTCAGCGTCCATATGCTCATTCACATTTCTTGACCTTTGTCAAGACTCCCAAGAAAAACAACTTTGTAAGAAATCTTATTATATGAATTCCCAACTCAATTCACAGACAGTACATTACAAAAACATACTTCAGAGGATCAGGTTTTCAAATTCTGCCAACGTGGTCAAAGATTCAAATAGAAGCTTGAACTCCACACATCTCACATCCCTGACTTACCAATTCCCTGAGCCATCTAATATGCATGGAAATTCTGTGTAGCTGGTTTAAAAAAAAAAGTATTTGAATTCTCATTTCCTCTCAATTAGAATTAATCTACTTGAGTAAGTTAATAAGGTTTCATAAAATAGGATGGTTTGTGTAACTTCTAACACAATTAAATATTAATAAACTCCTGTGGGAGCAAGATCAATGGAGTACAAAATGTCTTCCTGAATTTTATCTTACAACATGTCATTTTAACCAGTTATATATTTCTCCATACTCTAAAAGAAGTTTTATACATCAGTAGAAGAGTGATGAAACCACACAGAAAAATCTCAGCATTTACAGAATAAAGGAGTGTGCACATCTCATGTTCCATTTCAAGAACAGAATCCACCATAGCCCAAAATAAATAACCATCACCTATGCAATACATGTCCATAATTGACCTGAAATATTACACATGGTCCATCTAGATAGTGATTAACCTAAAATTCCCCTTCTCTGGCCCTATTTGCAACAAAACCAAAATGCTATAAAACCAGAAGGTAATCACCTCTCTTAAATGACAATAGTAAATTACCTCTACCCAGTTGCCTGTATAATTCTGCCTGACCTTTTGTGAAAGAACATTTCTAGGTGTCTGGTTTTTGCTGGTCTCTTGGGTCTAGTATGAGTTTTCTCTTCCCTTAATTACAGAAGAAGAATCATAAATCTGAACCTCCATTTCTAGAACTACAACATAAGGTTGAAAGTACATTCTTCTTACAACAGAGGTGTTAGAAACACCAGTCAAAACAAACACCAAGCAATCATTCTTGAATTTCTAGCAGTTTTGTCTAAAAGATAGACTATGGAAGTCTGCAGAAAGTTTTGTACATAACTTTTTCTTTTAAAACATTGATAAGAAATATCTGTGTTTAAAAAAAAAAAACCAAACCAACAACTAAAATTAAAAAAATGCCCACAACTGAAAGACAAAAACTTTCTGGTTATCTGTTTCCCAAAATATTTCAGGGAAATCTAAATTCCCTCATTCCTTAACCCAAATATTTCATCCCTTGACCAGTTCTTTCACTGATATGTTTACAGAAACGTTCCTTTTCTTCCCAGATTTGAAAATATTCATTAGAAGGAAGCACTGCAGTAAAACTTACATTGACATTCTTTGCAGCACTTGCCATCCACATACGCCAGGGCAGAGTTAAGCGGGCAGTCAGAGAGGGGGCAAATCAAAGCCTCACACTGCACAGTGCCATTCTAGAAGAATAAAAGGTGCTTAACTGGTAGTTATATTTAGCAAGAGCAGAGATATTCTCAAACACAGGAATTTAAAATCTATTTTTAAATGCAATGAACTCGCTAACAATACCCCAAAAGACATTTTAACATGGTTCTTTTAATAACTACAAGAATAGAAACTATACCTTCAGAATATCATCCATGCAATCTTTCAGACATGTATGATTTGTTCTTTCAGATCATAATGATCTAAGATTTTTTTAGAGGCAAATCTATTTGGAGGTAGAACATTCTGCCAATCAGCAGCAAAGTGACAGATTAGTGTGAAATAACAACCTCACAGAACAATACTCTACCTTTTGATTTTTACATAAGAGACAATACATTTCTAAAAGGTAATAATATCATAGCTGCAAGAAAAAACTGAGACAAAAATACCTAATGCATTTAACAGTAAATTCAAAGCATTTTAAGTAGCTGTCAGCCAGATTTAATACTACGGACTAAGTCATCTTCTCATCAACCACAAAACTCTAAAAGCAAAACTAACGTCCCTCCAGAAATATAAAGATCAAAATCATACTAAGCTTAAGGAGAACCATTTAGCAAATTATAGATAGTAGCAAATCAGTCTAAGGTGCAGTACAGACAACAACAGTCTTTTCACCAGTTTCTAATGGCCTTTGGATTAGGCATTTAATGAGTTCAAATGGAATTAATGAGTTTTAAATGAATGGACGATAACAAAGATGCCGTGGTTTGGTACCTGAAAGGATACTTTCAATTGCTTCTGGAGTTGTGATACCTTTGGGAATCTTCCATCCACCTAAATAATCTTTTTCATTTGTGATATAACAGAGCATGCACATGACCCTGACATTTTACTCTTTATTACTTACTGAGATGTAACCAAAGGCAACTAAAGGGAATCAGGCACAAGGGATCTATTAAATCATTTGCTAAAAAAAAGGCTGTGTTTATAGTGATAAAAAGCAGGGAATTAATTATCCAGAGAAACGGTTTGCAACTCAGTGCATGGGAATAACATGACAGCTAAGTATATTGCATAGCATCTGCCTTTGGTGACATGAAACGGAGGAGAGCTACACGTGTTGGCACTGCTGAAACAATAGGAAAATGTATTTATTAAGACTATCCCTTACATTTAGAACAGGTTTTCTAGCACTTTGTTGTTACTGCCTAGCATACACCTGGAAGTTTTCTCATTATGTGGCCCAAAAAAACCGTAATTAGAGGAAGCACTGGAGTTCCTCGGTCTCCACTCAAATTGTAGCCATACCATGCAGGTGCAGTTCTTACAGCCGTCTGTCCAGGATTCAAACTCTCTGTACGTCATGCCTTTCATCGTGCAGGTCCTTTCACAGTAGCACTGATCCAACTTGTTCATCCTCTGCTCAGCTTGGGACAACTGTATTTAGAGTTCACAGAATAGTTTTGAATTTGTAAGTGGTTTTCACATTAGTATAAATGTGGTTAAAACAGTCCCCCTGACCAACAAGCATGCAGATGAGAGAATATATGTAGGAAAATGCAAAGACAATAAAGCAACTATTGTCAAATGCAATGTGATTAAACCATCAGTCATTCGGACACGGAAATTAAGAAGCAAGACACAATGCACTTCAGCTTTCTCTAGCGTCAGAGATATAATGAAAAGAAAGGAGTAAGTCAAGATGGGTATGGCCCCTGATTTCTTATCTTTGTATGGGGGAACCAACCAAGAATCGTGCTCCAAATAAACTACTTGCAGATATTAGGTTATGCACAAAAGACCTGAATCTGAGTAGAGAGGCAAAATTGGAGGTAAGGCTCAAAACCAATTTGTTAGCAATTGTTTCTCCACTTCAACCAATGCGCTTCTAACATTTGTGCATCAAATCAGCCAGGTAACAGCATCCCTGCATTCCTGCAGACATCTGAAGAACTGACATTTAAAACCAGAAGACTAGTCTATCTTCACCAGCAGACATGAATGCTTTTGGTGTGATATTCTAGGGGGAAAAAAAGAAAAAAAAGAAAATGCTGCTTTGGATTCTTAATTCGTCGCCTTGCATATATTTTGTTTGAACCCACCTTTGGCAGCTCAGGTCTAGAAAAGTCTTGGACCAGTAAGTCTTCCTGCAATAAGCACTATAAGCACAGTAACCTAATTCATTCATTTTATTAACTTGTTAGCCTAATACAGCTTGAATATCTACAAGCCCTTTCCTTGCTCAGGGATTTGGATCCTGTTTACTATTAAAAGATAGGATTCTATAAAAATACTAAAACAGAAGAAAGTTCTCTGAACTGGGAATTTGTATGTATGGACACTAGGCACAGATATATAAATACAAACATATAAACATACCATGCAGGGATGTTCCACACACACCCATGTGCAGATCCCCACACATGCACAAATAAGCTAAAAAGATAGCAATTAACGCCTTAGAGTCCTCGTTTCTCCCATGCCATGACTCCTAGTAAACATTACCTTAGCTGATGTTTTGGCTAAAATGTCTTGCAGTTCCATAATTTTCTGCACAAGTCCATGGAAGTCATTACAAGTTGGGCATGCTAGAATAACAAAATATGTATATTAATTTAAAAAAAAACCCATGTATTCATAATGGGTTCAATCACATCAAAGGTGACAACGAATACACTGAAACTCAAGGGTTTACAAAAGCTTGTAGGACAGAAAGTAGGTACAAAGCACACCTTTCATTTTATGGTATAAGAATTAATAGACTTACTGCGATTAAGATCTGGGCATTGAGAAATAAATCCTTGAGGCATGACAAGTAATTGCACATCTTGCATTATGCCCTGTGTGTAAGTGGAGAGGAGAAAAAAGATACATTATTTTTACCTGTCGAAATTATGTTTTCCATTCACCATGCAAAACATTAAAGCCCAGACAGGAAAACTACCTGATAAAACCAATACTTATGAATACATAGCTTCTTGCCTGGACCCAGTGTAGTGATAGAAGAATAAAGAGAAAGTAAAATAGATAGATGTACAAATACAGACATACTGCATCATTTTTAAAGACATAAGATTAAATGTCAAGATGTAATTATGTGGCAAGAGTTTGGTTGTTTTGAATTCATTGTTATTTTTAGTTAGCCACTGCAGAAAAGCTTGAAAGTGACCTTTAAAAGTAATTTGAAAAACAGTTGCAGTTTCAGTTACTTTGAAACACTCTTTTAAATAAAATGCAAATTTTTCACTAAGCTATAACTGTCAAATAGAAGTGAAGATTAAAGAAACTTGAGTCAGGAAAAACACATTCATGCAACCCCTTTATGATTTTGATGGGGATCTTTCATAAAGCATGCAGGATGCTGAGAAACTATATCTCTGTTACACAGTCACATGTTGGCAAGAACTTAGGGGAAGGGGAAGTTTAGCGCAAAATTCAACTATGCCACCTGGAAAGGGATGGTTTCACCCGGAAGAATAGATCCCACGCTTGCAGGCAAAATTTACATGCATCCTTAGTCATTAAGATATAATTAGCAGCCACTTTGCTGCTTTCCGAAAGCAATGGCCAAACAACAATTTCAAAGTGAACCATCCTGTCATATTCGTTCCAGATGTCCCTTTCATCCACGATCCCCTCCCTGCATCTCCAAAACTCCTTAGGAGGAAAAGCAAAATAATTACAACATGCTTCAGCGTGCTTACGAAGCGAATGTTTCACGACACTAAGAACACAATGCAAACTAAATGGAAAAGTCCACATTTCATCCACATACACAGGGCATTCAGTACAGATGTATTGAATCAAAGACAAAGAACCAGAACTTTGGCCTCAAGTGAATGACACAGGGTGACCTAGCAACCTAAGTGACCTACAGAGAAGAGTAGGCATCACTGGAGGGCAACTAAGAGGGTACTTAAGTACCATGCCCACCTTTCTCCCTTAACAACAAAGCTATGATCTAGAACAACTGGATGCTCCCCCGCACTGCACAAGGAGCTGCAGTGATTAGCTGACAGTGAAAAAATAGCTGTGCCTGAGACAGGGCTCTGCATCAGGACCTCCCACACCACGTGTTCTGGAAGTCAGGAGCAAAGACCTCTTTAAAGAGCACACCAAAAAGCTCACTGTATTGATTTCTCCTTCCTTCCTTCCACAGTGTCATCAGCTTCAGACTCATGTCAACCCAAGTTATGGCATTTTCATGAAAAGGAGGAATGGCAGGATCCAACCCATCCAAGTTTAAAACACTCTTCAATGAACACACAGGCAAGTATTCAAATAGTTTAGCTATTAACCAACAGCAAAGCTCCTCCAACCATTTGAGAAGCTTTATTCATCATACATCAGCTGTGATATGAGCTGGCTCTGCCACTCACCAGGAATTCAGGTCCCTTCTCCTTGTCCCAGAGTAACAACAGGGAGCTGCGACACCTAGCCTGGGCTCCCAAATCAGGACCTCTTGACAGTCCATGAGAGGCTTTGCACAAGCTCCTAAAGAACCTAGTCGTTCAAATTAACACACTGCTGGATGCTAGGTACTGAGAGAAGTTACATGGTACCAGAAATCAGATACCCAGAATTGCTCACTCAGACTTCAAACCTTAAAGTGAAACAGGTACAAATATATCCCAGTGTGAATATGCCTACTGGCACATTGGTTTAGTGCAGCAATATTAGGTTCAAAATCAAATACAGCCACATAACACCTTTTTCAGAGTGACTAATGATTTTAAGTGCCTCGACCCCTCTGGACAATCCATTTAATCCACTCAAAGCAGCCTGGTTTTTGGAAATAGCTAAGCACCTGGACCTCCCAAAATCTGATCAGTAGGAGTTGTCCCACAGTGAGCATCTAGAAGTATAGGCTCTCCAAAACACTAAGAAGCGTTGAAAGTCATCATCTTCTAAACTGATGAATCTCCTGTACAACAGCACCATTTTCATTTTCAGATGCAGTTTGACCATTGGTACTATATTAAGCTGGAGAAATCACTTAGCACAGTATATATTGGCTATATCGATGCTCTTTTAACAGCTATCCATTTCTGTATTTTTGCTAAGCTGGTTTATATTTGTAACTGAGGCAAAATACTCCATGTATTTTGTTTCATTTTATCTTTCTTGAAAAGAAACAAACAAAAGCCCCTACAGTCCACTACTGGAGTATTTATTTTTGTACACCTAATGAGCTTCTTCACAGTGACTATTCTTTTGCAAAAAAAAGAATAGAATCAAGTCAAAAACTGAGAAGACGCAAAAAAATAAAGGCAATATTAAAAAAAAGTATTAATTATAAGCATGTAGAATAATTGAAGTGTATCTGAGATCATTTTAAGCAGTGCATTAATATCTTCTGATTTTATTCTTGGAGTCAACTGTTTATTTAAGCCAGAAATATAATTTTGCAGCTTGTTTAACAGACATCCTTTTAGTCTTATAGAGAAAAAGGAAACATGTATTGAATTGAAAAATAAAAACAAAGTCATGCTTCAGTTTTCAAATCTGAGTGCCCCAGTGGACCTCTGTACTTCATACACAACAAGTATATAAATTAGCATTTAAGTATAGCAAACAGTATTTCAACACCCCAAAACTAATTTTAGCACAAAAGCTCAGAACTTGCTGTGAAAACCATAGCCAAAGTGTTTTACACTGAAAAAAAAAGATTTAGAAGGCCATATTTTAAAAAGTGATTGGGTCTGCAATCAACATCATCAATTCTGTTTTGCAGCTCAAGTAAAAAGATGCCTACTGGGAGGAAAATGGGACAGCATCCACAGGGATGCCATCAGTTGTTAAAGTAGCTCCAGAGAAGACTCAGGCCAGACCACAGACAGCGGCTGTGACCAATGAGTGCTACCTAATGGACTCAGAGGAATCAAAATTTACACTCCAGTTCAACATAGCATTCACTTTTTCAATCTTGCTATACACCAGGTGCTTGCTATCTATACATGTTAAAGCAGAAGCAGTAAGCAAAAAGCACGCACAAATATTCTTCCTCTGAGGGAAAAAGCATTCTCTTCATTGATGTTAGCCACCTCATTCATTTCTGAGCCAAGAAGATACTGTGGTGAAATCTAAATCCTACAGAGGCAATGAAATTGGAGTTCCTGAAACTGTAGTGTTCTGTGTCACACAAAAAATTCATCTAGCTATGAAAGAGACAATAAACTCATGATTTATTTCCTGGAGTTTTGTTGCACTTGGCCATTTACCTTTCCCTGTATTAGGCTGCTGTTGGCTGTGTCATTTGGTGACACCAAGCCCTACGCATCTGGCTCTGCAACTTTATTTAGTGAAGTCCAGTTTGATGGAAACACAGCTCACGACATCAGATATGCTGATACATAACACACCATGGCCCTAAGAACTGTGTTATGATTACAGAAGCACAGACTGGTTGAGGTTGGGAGGCACGTCCTGGGATCATCAACTCCAACTTCCCTGCTCAAGCAGGACCAGCCATAGCAGGTTGCCCAGGATTGTGTCCGAATGGCCTTTGAACATCTCCGTATCTCTGACCAACCTCACAGTAGAACTGTTTTCTTATGTTCAGATGGAATTTCAGGTGTTTCAGTTTTTGTCCATCGCTTCTTGGCCGGGCACTATTGAGAAGAGTCTGGATCCCTCATCTTCATTTCCCCCCACCCCCATTTATATTTATGTGTATTACACATATTTATGTGTATTTATACACATTGATGAGATCCCCCTGAGCCTTCTCTTCTCTTCATATGAAAGATGCTTCAAACCCTTAAACATTTTTATTTAAGTTCACCCTTTTCCTTTCAGGGAATGCATACCTTAAAATAACCATGTGCATTATTCCTCTGTCCCAGCCAAAAGGTTGTACCCAAAGGTAAGTCCATGAAGGGCTTCTCCACCACTCTTTCATAAATTCTGAAAAGGAAGGGAAAAATAAAGTCCCAGGTTGTTACCATCTCATTTACTCAGAGTTGGAATGTTCCAAATGTGACAACTTCTTATAAAACAACACTCTCTACTTACTTATTGCAGTCCACATGTAAAATCAAGTGAGAAGCACTGATTGCTAAGGAAAGCCTGTGCCATTTATCATCTGCCAAAATGTATGGGAATACTTCTGTGTGGGAACGATGACTGCCTGAACGATAATGCAACCTGATTTCATTTCGATGACCGCTGCTTTCCAGCTCCAGGTACCTGTACCATAAATGCACCATCATGTCATGAACCATTCTTATCAGCACAGCAACATTTTACATAACACAACTTCTCATTATCATGCAGGAACCATTTAAAACAGGGGCAAAGATAAGCAAGGAGATACAAAGATGAAAGCAGACACTTTCCAGATTTGCACTGCACCCTTCTTTTCAATAACACATAATAGCAGGTTCCAACTTGCATGTAAGTACACAAGATTCCAAGCCAAGTATTTTTTTCCTCTAGCAACACTATTTTCCATAACATGATCTGATTGGAAATATAATTACCCTATTATGAATAATTGCCTCATACCCTGAAAGCACGGTGAGGGCACTCTCAAGGCAGGAATGGACAAAAGACAACAACCAAGTTTTGCAATAGGGACATCATTAGCTGTTGCCAGCCAGGGAAGTAAGCGAGAACTAAGACTGGATGCTGCTTTGTTTGCTTTGAGATGTACTGCTAACATCTCCTTTCATTTTTCATAATAAAATTTCTCCAAAGAAATACAAAATCAAGAAGTGCTAACTCTTCAGAACAATTTATATATGTGTACATATTTTCTTTGTTAGATAATTATGTGTATTTGTGGTGTGTGTGTGTGTATACACATGCATGTATATGTATGCACATATATGTGTATACGTATATACACGTTAAAAAAACAGCATTGCAGCTATACCAAGATAAGTGCACCATACACCAGATTTGCAGATTGCTAACACAAGCTTTGCTGGTGAAATTCCAGAAGATCAATGTAAAAAGCACCCCATAACCAAACTTGGTACTTAGTCAGACAGGGCTATTTCTTGTACATTGGACCTCTTCTGGGAACAAGCTTGACAAACCATTTGTCTTCTAAGTTTCTCATTTTAAAGTTACCCCCTACAATGCTTTTAAAACATGAAAGGAAAACAGAAATGCAGATTCTCTAATAATCATATGCAACCTACAGCTAAAGAGCAAGGAAAATAATATATTATGTAGTGAGATGCACAAGAGCTGGGAGAATGGACGATTCATTTTTGTCTATTTTTGCTGTTACATCTGCAGTCAGGCATGACACTGGTTTATAATCTGAGCGCACACGTGGTTTAGGGTGACACTGTTTATTGTAACCGGCTATCTGTATTAAAGAACAGACAAGACAAGACAATGGTGGCAGTTTTCAAGAGTGAAGATGAGGCCAAATCAAAATCATCTTGTACAATCATTATCCCTAGGAGGAGACTGGGCTCACTGCACATCTCTCCTTCCTTCAGGGTGTTTCACGGTGGAACATGCCTAGCAATAGCACAAAAACAATTATCCTTTTGCAAAACTGGCAAAGGGCAATTTCTTCTTCTTCCTCCCCAATATTAACAAAGCAGTTAACTAGAGTCAGCAGTAAATTCTATAATCTGAGATAATTTACCTCCTCATGGCCCAAAAATAATTTTTGCATTGGCAAGAAGTGTAAACTAATTGAAGGCCTGGCTGGAAAAAAAATGGGCAATAGTGGCAGGACATCAGTCAACTTAATAACCTCCTTCATAACTCAAGCTTCAAGGATAAAAATAAGGTCACTCTCAACCTAACAGAGAAGGGGAACATTGCAGAACTGGACGCCTCCAGCAACTTTCAAGTGTCTCTACCCAGTTGCAGATACAGTCTGGAAACAGAAAGGGATGCATATGTTGAAACATTATGTCCTAATAGAACCAAGGGCTACCTCCTACTCTCTTTGAAGTCAATGACAGAACTGATGCCAGCCAGCACACGGAGATGCAGGCAGGCAGGGAACAAACTATGACAGCAGACATACAGTCAGTACAGAAGGTATAAAACGAACACTCATGTTGCTCCTTATGCAGGTGAGATAATGAAATTTCTGTGAATGAAACATGGATTTCCTCATAAAAAGAAGACACCACTGTAAAAATTTCAGGGATTAACAACTGCTGAGAGAGGATGCTGACATTCGATGGCACTGCAATAAACAAGGAAATCTTCCTCCACAAAGCTGTGCAAAAATTGTGGATGCTGGGGGTTTTGTTTTAACTGTGACTGTTTTGAGATCCACAGGCAATCTCTTTTGTTCTTCATTTGGTAAACTAACAAATACATCTCCCTTCTAAAGGCTTGATGGCTGTTAGAGCAAATGTGCATCAAAATGAAAAAGAAAATAATAATACCCATTAGGAGAATTATTAGGAGAATAATTTATGGTTTACTAGTAATCTGTAGAGGCAGCAGGAAAACACAATTAGAATAGCAAGTAGAATGACAGACGGAACAATATTCCCTTCAGCTTGAACTAAGGCCATGACACTGAAACACAGGGAAGTGGAAGTTAATCACTTGCACTTCATTTTTTACAGAACACTGTGCTTGTTATTCCACTTTTCTGTATTTGCTTAACTGCCTGGACTTAAACAGCTCTGGCTCAGTCTCATGAGCTTCAGAAGACGGGACAACCAGGTATGGCTGGAGATGCAAAGTCTGCCCGCAGCGAGGCTTCTCGTGCCATCTGTGAGGCTGTAACAAAGCACGCACTTGGGTACGCACTTGCCAAAGGTTTGGAAGAGTCTTTGAGAAAGTAAGCTAAGCATTAACAAATACATCTAATTTTAAAAACTCATTTCTGGTGACAAAAATACTCTAAACTTCTCTCTATGCTCAGGATCACTGATCTTTTGAGAGAAAAGAGGGGTGATCTTGTTTCCTAAAGGACTTACTCCCAAAGGAAACAGTAACAGCATCATATTGCAGTCTTCTCCTAACCAGGAAACTCACTACTGAAAAGTTTCAGGGGCAACTCATCAGCTGAATCACTGGGTTCTTGTCCACACCATCCCAGCCCACCCATCGCAGGGAGAGCATCAGCCAAAGAATTCCCATTACTAACGTGGCTACTGCCTCTCCTAACAGCTCCAAGGTGCTCGTCTATGCTGTGAAAGGCAAACAGCTCTAAGTAAAAAATAAACCACAATGAGAAACACAATTCAACAGGAGACCCTGCTTCCCCCTTTGCTAATGTCCATGATCTCTGTGGTTGTTTAATCAATACCAGCCTGCACGCTTTGGGTCAAATGGATTTAACTTAGTAGGGAGGTGATAAGTGCTTAGGTTTACTACGTTTGCCATATGGAGAAGAAAATACCAACCTGAAAAAAGGTTGCTACATCTCCGCAGATCACTCTGTGCATGCACAATCATTGCAAAGGCAAGAGCCAAGGCCACCGTAAGATCGGTCACTCTGCTTGGAAACCAGCCAGACCCCTTATGCACTGACTAAGGCTGAGCCTATTTTCATAAGAGGAAGAAATTTGTCTCAAATGCCCCAGAGGTATTTGAGACAGAACCCAGCGATGTTTCCTCTGCTGCCCAGCACTGATCCATCGTAACTCCTGGATAAGAGCTGAGAGTCAGCAGACCTGCTCAGCTGCAGAGCTGCTACCGCCCATCACGGTGAAGGGCGCGTGGTCTGCACGAGCCTGCGCGGGACCTGCGGGATGCGACAGACCCATGCGGGGGAGACTGTGGAAGTAAAAGTCAGGATGTACAGCAAAAAGCTGGAGATTTAGGAGGTGAGAGACCAGATGGTCCTGGTGTACGCAGTAGCAGTCTTTGAGAAGAGGGAGGTATGGCCCTTCCAGCTAACTGCCAGCGTTGGTAACGTCAAGCCTTTGATGGCTCATTTGGCATCCCTGCTCACGCAGCAAACACGCACTGCACCTGCCCACTCCTACTGCAGGCAACTAATAAAAATCTACTGCAATTTACAGCATGTAGACAAATATTTTATAAGCTAAAGGCAAGAGATCATGTCTGCTGCTTATGAATTTATGACAGGGTGGGGTTTTTTTAAACTTTTACTACTCATATTTATAGGTATAGTGCTAAAAGAGTTCTTCATGGCTCTTTGATCTACACTAAGAAGAAAAGAAAAACCAATAGAATTAAAGAGTAGCGTGTACTTAAGAAAAAAATCACAATCCTTGTCTCCATTCCTTAAAAAAACCTTTACCTGAAGATTTTTGATACAACTGTTCTGGCTTTTTTGTTAGGTATAATTACATAAAACATAAAAAAAAGAGATCCTACCCAGTAGACCCTATTCATTGCAAACTATGGCTACAATAGCAGTAAGCAATTCTGCTGGGTATGGATTATGAAGATGTAAAAGCAGTTCACGCCGCACAGCCACCACATTCAGCAATGCGTTATTTGCTATTTTCCATGGTATGATGACTGGGCAGTCAGGAGTGTGAGCCTTAGTTTTTCTATTTGGAAGTAACACTTAAAGCGTTCTGAAACATTAACCAGGAGTTTTTACTGCTTGGTGCATCCCCTAGAACCATATGGCATTAAAATATGCCCTGATGGATTCTAAATGCCAAGTGGCAACTGCGCTATACCTGTAAAAACCTAGTCCCCACCTCTTACTTACACTACTGCTTGGCATTACTGCCTTTGCCATTTTCCCTGACTATCCAGAGCTCTACCTAGGCAAGAGATGACTGGCGGTTTTGCCAGGGAGTGATACATTTTAAAAAAGTTCTTTACTTTTCTGGATAAAATGGTAGCACTTAGTGCAAGTGCACAGTGGGCAGGAAAGCCACCAATTCAGTTTCTGTCCTTCTTTTGCTGAATACAGTTTTAGATCCAGGCAAGAATTTTCTGACGTAGAATAATTTTTCTTAAAAAATGCTGTTCCATTCATTAAAACCAAATCTTTTGATAGAAACAAACACTCTGCAGCAAGGTTTCTGGGGCCCAGGATGAAATGCTTGTTAAAATGAGTGACAGAGACTCTCCAAAAGACTTCCTCAAATACTCTTTAATGCCACAGTTATTACCTATTTGAAAACAGAGATTCCCAGTGAAGAGAGGCTGAAATCAGAAGAGGGTGTTTTCCGTATTGAAACAGAGCGCACAAACAACAGGACAGTAAAAACAGTCTCTCAGGTTGAACTGATGAGGCTCTTCCATTACACAGAATTCATCAATCA